AAGCGCTCTACCACTGAGCCACCTTCCCAGCCTCCTTTTTTTTTTTTTTTTTAGCTGTATACCTATTACTGTTTCCCAATGTTTCATGGTAATTTGCATCCATTGGGGAATTAAATGGATCTGTGACACAAAATTTAAGTTAATTTATTCAGTAAATAATGGCATGTTTTAAGGGGACTCAAAGTCATCAAAATAATGGCAAGCTAACAAATCTTTGATGATTAGCATAGAAATGAATGTAAAAGCCCTGGGCAGGGGTGGGAGGGGAAGACAATGAAGGTGCTTTTCACGTTATTTCCAAGAACATTTTATATACTACATGACACATAGCCAAACTAGCAATTCTAAGTAGTCTCTTCAGGCAACAGACATGCTGACATAAGCAAGAACACGAGAAACAACTTAAAAATGTCTTGGAAAAGCAGCTATAAGAAAAAAAATGAAATAATCACTGCATAAAACAATTGAGGATAACTGAAGTAATACTTTTTTGAGATACTCCTAATAAAGAAAAAATGTTTAAAATTTCAATGTAAAGGGGGAGAGAAGACAAAATTATCTTCATTTTAGTGTCATTTATCCCACATTAAAAAATGACTGTAACATGGTTCATTTCAAGGCTCAAAAATGCAATATGAGAAACTGGGCACTACTGTAGGGGGCTGAGATATGAGGATCAAGGTTCAAAGCCAACCTGGGCAAGAATGTCCATGGAACTCTTATCTCCAATAAACCACTAGAAATCTGGAAGTGGTGCTCTGGCTCAAGTGGAGAGCACTAGCCTTGAGCTAAAGAGCTGAGGAACAGCGCCCAGGCCAGAGTTCAAGCCCTATAACCAAAAAAAAAAAAAAAAAAAAAAGCAATATAACTCTAATTCTAAAAGATTTAAAGTGCATGGCATATTGCTCAGAAATGCTCTTGTAAAAAAGATGTTTCTAAAATGATAAATTATCAAATGGTACTTAAATCTTTGTGAAAAAATTCGTGTCTGTAATGACTTGCAAATTAATTCTACTGGTCGTTTGGGACTTCCATTTATCTATGTCTTAAAATCATGGCTCTCAATATTTTTATGTACAGAAATAACACAAAGAGTTAATTAAATATGGATACTCCAGGATATGGCTACTGTTTACTCACTGAAATTTTGATTTGTTAAATTTTAGTGAATTTGCACTTTATCAAAACCTTTTACAAAATTCTGCTAAAAAAAAATTCTGCTATATGTGAAAGAGAGCAACATCATCAGAGACCAACACAGAAGTGGACCAATTTCCAAGGGTGAACTCTGAATTTACTGCTATATGTTGACATACTTAGATGTACATATCAATGCTCCCTTTTATTAGCATAAAACCTTATCACATCCCTCCATCTACCAGCATGGAATAAGGAGAGAAAACTTCTGCTGAGAAAACCCCCTATTTTCCTATTTAAAATGAGTTGAATTAAATGTCTTCACTACCATGTAGTTCTAATATTTTAAATGCTTATCTGAAGCCTGGAAAATATTTTTTAAAAAATTATGACTCACATATTGGCTAGTGTGGATGGAATCAGCTTGGAAAAAAAGTATCAGTCTTTGGACCATTAAATCAGTGAAAATGTTTAAGATTCCCTCTGCCACTCCTGCATTTTAGGCATGTCCTAGGAAGCTATATAAACTTCATGCCTATATAAAAAAACAAAATTGTTACTTTACTTAAAATTTTAAGCCATTGTGTATATGCCATCATCAAAAATTAAATGTTCTGATACATTGCAATTTCTGTGTGAATAGCTGATTGGTATGAATAAAAATCATGATCTTAAAATAAATTTTAATGTAACTTTCCACCAGAATAAACATAACTAATGCCATGTATGGTATAAATAATTGATTTCAAAAGGCTTCTTATGTTAGGTAAAAAAAACAAACCCTAATTCCTTTGCTTCAAACAAAGGCAATATTTTCTATATGAGACAGGGACTATGAAAGTCAATCATATAAAATAGTAGGAGTCAGATACAGGTACGTGCTTCTAAGGGAGGCTGAGGGAAGATCCAGGGCTTGATCTGGGCTCTCTCTCTCTCTATCTAGACTAGCTATGTTTCTATTCATCCTTGCCTTAAACCCCCCCTTCTCTCAAATGCTTTTTAGAAGTAAAATAGGGTAAGGAAAAATGGGTTATAGCATTTTACACTGTTTGTCAAAGAAGCTACTCTGATTCAGTATCACTTGAGACCTGACTGGGGTGAGGAATGAGCTAGAGATATATTGGACTAAGAAAGTTCTGAGTAGCCAGGGACAGCAATTTAAGTGTCCAAGAAAAGCATATCATAAATCTCCAAGAACTTCTGACTTTTTCAAAAATACTGGAGGTTCTCCTGTACCTAAATTCTCTCTTTTCTACTCAGCCTCCCTGACCACATTATTCCTTTTACTGTAAGCATGCAGCAGGATGGAACTTGAAGTTTAACATATTCCATGTGATTTTGTCTTGTTTCAGGGGTGAGTGCTATGAGGTTAGTCTGATCTGTCTCTTTTGAATTGCAAACTTAAGAGCAAATTTTTGCCACTTATGACACTACTCCCTGCCTCTACCCAGCCTGTCCTGATCTTGAACTTAGGTTAGATCTTTGATAAAGCAGTATGACTAGCCAAAAGCTGCCTGTGCAGTCATTTGCAATTACACATTATACTGGGAATGTTTATTGCCAAGATCCCCCTAGTTGTAGTATGATCTAATATTTCCATGTGTAACTCTTTATACTCACCTCTAGGCATATGTACTTTTACATAAAGGGAGAAAACAACATGACACGAGGAGATATATTAAAAGACTTTATTCACAATAGAGAAATTTTACAAATATAATTTTTAAAAATTATGTGTCAATCTATTATACTTCCTGTAACATTAGAGTTTTATATAAAGTTGGAAGTGATGGAATGGATTTATGAACAAATCAAAACAGTCAATGTAAAAATGGGTAATGCACATGAAAAGAAGTCACTGAGTTCTATAAGTTGGAATACAAATTATATGTTTAATAGTAACTGCACAAAGTATATCGAAACATTGTGTCAACATAAAATTAAGTGCTATCTGAAATTTCGTCTTTAATAAGGGTTGTAGGTAAGGTATACATGTAAATTCCACTGCACAGTTTTGTTGAAAATGAATGAAAGTGTCTACCTAGAGACCTCAGTTGTTTAAAATAACACAAAGTTTAACTTTAAACTACATTATTATAATATTAATTTCTTGTTTACATTTTTGGTGTTTTTGGAACTAGGTTAAGAAATCTAAGTTCCAGAACTGAAGAAGAAAACAATCCTTCCCATCAGCAAAGCAACATGTGAACATGTGATACACTACTTGTCTACTTAGGCCAGGATAGAAAAAAAAGATACAACACAATGTAGCGTGTACTCAGTGTAGCATGTACTCACAAGCTGATTTTTAACACTTTCTGTTGCAGAAATAGTTATCAGCTTTGTATCCTTCAAGCCAAGTTGAAATGCACAGGATATCAAAATTTCCAGTTCAAAGACATTCATGTGAAAATTATAATCTAATTGCTGTAGGAAGACTTTAAAAAAGTATTTTGCCTTCAAACTGGAGGGAAGAAGACTCTTGTAATGTACCCATTTCTTTGGGTGAGCCCATGATAGGAAGTTGTTCTGTGTCAGAGACATGTCAGCATGGTATACTGATGGACTGAGGATCTGACTTATTTACCAATTTTACTAATTAATTCTTTGACATATCCCAGTGTACAATACCAAAGGTCAAAATAGGCCAAACAAGATTGTCCTCTAAGATGAAATCTTTTGAAACACTTTCAAAAGCTTAAATAGCTAAAACTATTTGTCTATTAAGAGCTAAGAAAAGAATTGTTTTCAAAAACGATTAGGTTGGATCATGTGAAACTGCTGCTCAGACTGTTTTAATACGATGAATGCAGCAATGTTCTATGCTTCACCTAATTCACAGGCTCCCTGATCTGTCTCATCATTCTCGGGTGAAAATTGGGGTTGTCAAAGTCTTTGTACCTTCCTATAACACACCATCATTTCACTTCAGCCCTTTCATATACAGACCCAGTGTGATGAGAAACACAAGATGTTGCTAAGTTTGTTCTTGAGAAAGTTATTTGTGTTTTGAAACAAAGTTTAGAGAATCACATGATTATTTTGATCTGAGCAGATCCAATCACAGATGACCGAGACACAAATTCCTTCTAAGTTGGGATCTTTATGTTGATTGTAACTATACCTAATATATTCTGTTCTTATTTGACGCAGCAGTTTATTAGATTTTCCTTAACTGACCACAAATATAGATATGCTGGCAAAGCTTCTTTCACAGAGTGCAATCTTGCTTTCATAAATCCAAGTGAAATAATTTACGACATTTGAGAAAAGGCCTTTTTCCAATCTGAAAAACCTCAACCAAATGGAATGCTTTTTGAAGGAAAAAAAAGTAATGTTGAAATACAAACAAATGAGCTTAGAGCTATACGAAATTCTCACCCTCTCTTTTAGAGACCAAATTTTTTTCCATATTCCATTAAAAGCAAAAGCTAGCACATTAAAAGTTACAGTTCCCCTTTAAAAATGTATGTCCATGACAGTAGAGCTCTGTAAAGCAGACAGCTCACTTCATGTCGCACAGGGGAGAAGAAGAAACGAAGCAGCAGATGTGATCCAGAAATGACCCAGGCCATTTAGAGTAAAAGCAGAGAACAAACACACAGATTAAGAAACACTAATATAATTAACCAACCAAAATTTACTGCAGTTCTAAAGAAATGAGGTCAACATGAGTCTTTTGGATGACTTTGTAGTTTGAATCATAATGTGAATGAAATATTTTAGGAGACATTCTATCAAATAATGATAGACCCGCATCAGAAGGCTGTCACAGTTATAAGATCTGTCTCTGGTGGATAGACAAACCAGATCAACATAAAATCAAAAAGGAAAAAAAAGCTGTTTTAATAATTTATTATGGCTTTTTGCAACATGGCAAAACATTACAGCTTAAAGCAGACATCATCTCCTCATAGAGGAGGAAAGAATTTTGCAGTCAAATCAAATTGTAATTAAGAGGTCATTGGCATACCACTACTCAGTTTCATGAAAGTGATATCATACTTTCATGAATTCCAGAGATAAGAGATTATTTAAAGAAAAATACACACATACACACACAAACAAAACCATGGACTCATTGGCTGAATAACAAAAGGAATAAGGAATGTAGGTCCAATTGATTCCTATGATAATAAACATAAAAGACTGCAAAACAGTTTTAGAACTCAGAATAATCACAGACATAGGATAAAGTTCATCATATGGCTGATCACTGAAAAAAATAATGATTAAGGTATGGAATGGAAGGAATGAAACAGAATGAAATGAGAAAAAGGTCTTTTATTTCTCTTCAACTTTCTTTTTGTCTGCACGGAGTATAGGGAGAAGATGTGCCTCAGTGTTGAAGATCCAATGTTCCAGTGGAAGAAGATCATCATCAGAAAATATTAAGTACAAATATCTGTAAGAGAAACATGAGTACATAAGGCTTGAGAGGCCATATCAGGCACGGAAGCCACAAAGTAGCTCTATTCATCTTACCGTGGCCACAAACAACAGTCAAGTCTATCAGAATGCTGAGGGATGGCTACACACTTATTCAAGTCAAGAATCTACTCTTTGCTTTGGTGGTAACGTATGAGAACCAAATAAAACTGTCCCAAGTCATCAGACGTCCTAATGACTGGAAACACCTGCAAACAATTACTGTCATGCATGTAGAATGGCATTCTTGGAATAATTTGAATGTGTTCTCAATAAAGAGAGATGTATTCAGGTGTTTCAGCCCTATTTTTTGAGGATCATTAGCTTACTTTAGTGTTTCTGCCAGGAAGAAACTTTGTTGGACATCATCGTAATTCTCATGAATGAAGTAAACATCCCTGAGGCCTGAGTAGCCGCCGTTCACCTTGCAGTGACTTTCCAGGGCCTGGGTCACCAAGAAGAGGAGAAAAAAATTTGTAAACTGATTTGTTAACAACTTTTATTATTACACTGCTGAAATTCAGCTAAAATCGGGATTCAAACTGAATAAAAGTTTGACAGCGTTAGGCAGAAAACTCAAAAACACAGAGTAGGTCCAACTGAAAAGCCAAAGATCAAACAGACAATTTATTGTATTTCAATAGAAACAATTCTACATTTGTTTTTTTGGAAGGATTTTTGATGGTGCTAATAGCAAGAACAGAAATAAGAATGTTTTTATTGCCTGGAGATCTAAACACACCATGAAAGACAAAGCTGACCCTAGCCGATTGCACTGTGGGGTTGAAAAGAGGAAGAACATGGCGGCATGTGACAACTTGAGTCAAATCTTCAGTGAGAAAGTACGACCGTGAGGACAAAGCTTCTTCCACCTAATAGATGAGGAAGACTTGCTGATGCAAAGAGATCTCCAAGAGTCAATCTCAAGCTATTTCTGAGAGTGACCCTTGCTAGTCAGGCTGTCTGCTTGAATTTGGTCTGAATTTGAGGGAAGAACACAAAGATCCAGGCAACATCAACATGTCAAAGAGAGTCTGAAAACAGAGTCTCAGGCTGGGAAGAAGGAGCAAGAAGGGGAAGATAATCACACTCAGTAAGTCAGAATGTCTGAAAAGGATGAGGTCTAGGTTGCTAAAGGAAAAGTGTGCAAAGAAAAAAAAGCAAAAATCCTACAGAAGTCTTACCTCCTTCTGTAGACCAGCTGAGACATGACTTAATTTATATGCATGTGCATGTACAAGGAAAGCTTTAAAAATCACAGAAAAGTTGTTATGCTGGATTTATAGGTAATCATAGAACATTTTGTGCTATGACATTTATCTGTAAAAAAATAATGCAAACTAAAACATCACCTCCACAGCTTCCCAAGCCCATTTTCTATACTTCGGATCATGAGTCAGACGCCACATGTACATGTAAGTCTCAATAACTTCTGGCCGTAGGATGTAATATTTTTCGTTTTGCCTGGTAGCAATGGCTTCAACACCACCATCAAATCTGAAAGCTTCCGGTCCCAGTTTCATAACTAATGGACATGCAATAGGGGGACAAGGGTTACTGAACTTTGCAATGCTTTTAAGTTCGATGAAGCTAGACAGTGCTTAATCACATTAAAGTCAGATGACCAAACTCATTTTAAGTTCTAGTTATAGCATCATATGAGACACAGTATTAAAGATACTTTTAAAATTTAGTCGTCTGAAAGAATCCATTTTAGAAAATGGTAATAACCCTTTATTCTTCCCATTTAAGCCATGTTTCCTGAGCAATGACCAAATGAGTACAAGCCTTCAAAAACTGCATTATTATTAATACATTATGATTATTACTATTATTATTTTGTGACAGTACTAGAGCTTGAACTCAGTGGTTAGGTAGGTCCTGTCCTCTTAGCTTTTGTTCAAGGCTAGTGCTCTACCATTAAGCCACCACTTCCCTTCTGTTTTTTCGGTAGTTAACTGGAGATAAAAATCTCATAGACTGGGCTGGCTTTGAACCATGATCTAAGAATGGACGAAGATTAATAATGGTTACTTTTTGTACTAGGGCAGAGGCTTTTGTTCAATGCTATCTAGGTAAAACAGGGGTCAGTAAACTAGACTGCCAAACTGTTCTGTGCCTGGATTTCTGTGACTTGACAAATTAAAGGTTTTTAGATATAAAGACAGTGCTTTTTAGAGCATAAATACACGTTCCTTGAAGATCTTAACTATGGTGTTCAAGTTTCACCAGGCACAGTAGATATTCTTTCAGTGACCAAGTTCCTTACTAACTGAAATTGAAGCAGGGGAATGGAGTGTAAAGAATCACATGGACTCACAGGTGCGATTGTAAGATTCATGACAGGTGCGGGCAATTTCAGCCCCAAGTTCAAGGTAGTGCTGGGTCAAGGCTTCAGGAGCTCCGTCTGCTCCCAGTGCAAACATGCCTCCTGCAAAGCAGGTCAGGTGGCCCATTTTGTGCTCCAGGAGCCCTCCTTTCCACTCTGCGATGTATGTCAGGCCCCCACTTGACTTGCGGATCAAGTGAGTCTCAATGGCCTGGAAAGAATAGTGACATTTAACGTTCTGCAATCTCTGCTCAAGTTATCTGGTAAATACTATGGAATTATTATAAGAAAAAAAAAGACTCTCCACTTGAGTTTGGTGTTGCAAATTTAATTCAACTTGACATACTATGCTACTGCTTTCTGTATTCTTTTTTTTTTTTTTCGGTCGGTCGTGGGGCTTGAACTCTGGGCTTGGGTGCTGTCCCTCAGCTCTTCAGCTCAAGGCGAGCGTTCTACCGCTTGAGCCACAGCGCCACTTCTGGTTTTCAAGTGGTTTATTGGAGATAAGAGTCTCACGGACTTTCCTGCCCAGGCTGGCCTTGAACCGCAATCCTCAGATCTCAGTCTCCTGAGGAGCTAGGCATGAGCCACCAGCGCCTGGTGTGCTTTTTGTATTCTTGCTCTAATTTATCCCTTTTTAGTTTATTTATCTAGAATTTCCATTTGTTGGGCCAGTCCAGATGGATTGTTGGGACCGTGGCAAACAATACAACAGCCACCTGTTTCTCAAAGATGTGGTACTGGTGCAGTGGTAATAGTTGGGTTAGTGCATTTTAATATCCACAAATGGTAAGATGCAGTGTGAGCTGTAGAACACAGAGTGTGTTTTGGTGTATGATCCAGGATGGCGGCACGACTCTGCCTTCCATTCCCTTAGACTTGACAAGTAGCAAAACAGCAGCACAAAGGGCTGTTCTGGAGTTAGACATTATAGCTTCAAATTGCAGCTCTGTGGAACCCATGAACTCTATGCACAATTTGCTTACCTACCCCCAAATGTCAGATTCCTTATCCATAAAATGGAGATAATATGACTTAGTGGGAAAATACCACAACAGTCAGCACTGATACTGACACTTGATAAAAGTCACTGGTCATTACCACTCACATCTCCAATATGGTAACACAAGCTTGAATCAAGTTCTTACCTAATTATTCTACTGCAGAGACTTGTACATGACAATTTTTCTTTTTCTTTTTTTTTTTGGTCGGTCATGGGGTCTGAACTCTGGGCCTGGGCGCTATTCCTCAGCTCTTCAGCTCAAGGCTAGCGCTCTACCACTTGAGCCATAGCACCACTTCTGGCTTTTTCTGCTTATGTGGTGCCTCAAATATGGAAGGCAACCTCTCTACCACTGAGCCACCTTCACAGCCCCTACATGACAATTTTTTAAGAAGAATAAATATCTTTACATCTGGGAGAACTGATTGTTCCTACAATTGATTTATACGGTTTTTCTTATAACTACTTTTAAGAACAGTTACCACCAGATATGGAAATATAAAAGGATTATATTTTAAAAAGCAAAAATGAAGCATAGTATTAATGTCTAATTACTCATTTCTCTAACAGAAAATGCCCCCTACATTATACAGGGAAAACTACTCTCAGAATGTCTCTATATTTGTCCTTGCTGTTAAAAAAGGACTTTCAGGAAGTACATCTGGAGATAGTAGAGAGAAAATAAAAGTAAATATACATATAAAACCTTTCCTGCCTTTACTAGAAATAAAACAAATGAAAGTAAGTCAGTAAGAAATACATGAACACACTATGCTCATTAACTGTGGTTAATTTTATTGATGGTTTACTTATTACATGAATATTTCATTCTTATTTAGTGCAACTGAACATCTCAGCTATTTATACTTCTCATAACACAAATTGCAATAAAGTCCTCCAAGCAAATACTTGTGCATCACCCAAGAAATTATTCTTTCTACATGGCAAGAGTAATAGCTTTTGAGGATAGATTAGAGAAACATTATTACCTTGTTATGGATACTGAATAAAGTACTATATTATTTTTGGCATGATTTTGACCAACTTGCTACCCCCTAAAATAAACTAAACTGATATTCCAAAACCTTCAAAGCAATGTTTTTGGGTGGAAATGGGAAAATTTAACTAAATGGAGAAAAGGAAAAATAGCCTTAGGTGACTCTAATAAATTTTTGTGTCAAGCTTACACACAGGATTAGCAAGGGAGACTAAAATATATCCTGTGGTTTAATCTTTCTACATATAAAATTATTAATTTGTTGAAGGTGACATTCTAAATGTCACCTGCCCAGGTATCTTTTACTACTGTATATTCTAAGTGAGATCTCCAGGTAAGCTCTTGGAAATCAGCTGAAAGTTCAAAGTATTTTATTAACCAACCCAAGAAAACATACTACTTGGGGATTAAATGCTTTTCAAACTACCTGAAGAAACTGTTTGGAACAAAAATAATTGAAGGCGTCACCTCCTTGATGATGATATTTTGCTATGTGTGTGGGTTGGGGTGGTAGGGGGGAAACAGAATCTTTCTGCATTCTCTAGGCAGGTTTTGAACTCCTGGACTTAAGTGATCTTTCTGCCTCAGTCTCCTAGGTTAGCTGAAATCACAAGTATGAATCACTGTTGCTGGCCCATGATAATTACAGGGTGACAGAATATGAACATGATTGAAATATTATATATATGTGTATACATATACACACATGCACATGTATACATATGTTTACATATATTTACATATATACATATATACACATATATATGTAAGCATATACATACACGCAACACACACATATATACATATATTTTACATAGATGTTTACATATATATGTAAATAGCATAATGAGACCCACTGGAAACTTAAAAAAGGGGTGACTATTTTTTTATTTCTGTACCCTTTGTCTTGCATATACACGTATCTGATTTGGGGAAGGGAAGAGGAATGGCAGGACAAAGGATGAACCAATTTAACTGTGAAACTCACTAGACACTATGGAGGAAATGAATGTTACAACTTGGGGGGAAGATGGGTCAGAAGGAGAAAAAGTGGAAGAAAATGAGGGAGTAACACTGCTCAAAAAGAAATGTCCTCATTTCCTGACTTATGTAATTGCAATCCCTCCATACATTACCTTTACAATAAAATTGAAATTAAAAGAAAAAAAGGGGTGAATCAAAAGTGGTGGTTCAAAATAAGTGATAGAAGGGGGTATAAGTGTGATTCAAGTACATTAGATGCATGTACAGGAATAAAAAATTGTATTCTTTTGTGCAATTAATTTTTGTCAATAAAAAGTAAATGTAGCAAAAAGAAATTTTGCTCTACAAAACATTATTTTTTCAAAGTTGTACATTTGGTTGTTCTAGTGCAGCTCTCTAAGTTAAAAATATACAATGGGTTTAAAATGTTTTTTCTATTAAGGGAAACAGGAAACACTTTGACTTCATTTGCTCTTAATGGATTTTTCTGTCAATGACTTTGTCTAAACAGAATATACTAAAAGTCACATGAGTGTATTTCTAGAAACAGGGGGAAGGGGTATTTGAAAGAATATTTTAGAGCTGCCTTCCTTGGAACATCAAGACCTTAGAAGGCCTCTTTAAGATTAAAATACTTAAAACCTCTGCAGTTTGGTGACTGGAGCCTGAGATCATGGAAATCATAATAGAGAACTTCCTGGATACAAACTTGGATCCTCACAGCAAGGAGGGAAATAAACCTCTAAGGAATGATTTTTCTAGTTTTACTAGATGAGGACAAAAGGTCAGAGGGATCATATCTTTGTGTCTGATGTCCATTATATGCCCTAAGAAAGGCGTGTACACTGAGGATGTCTTCTAAAGAGTCCTGACTCCTATACATGAGTAGAAATGAACGGTGTGTGCTTTGCTTCTGGAGCTTTCAACTGAGCAAGGAAAAAAAGCAATGGAAAAGTCAACCCACTTAACCAGACCAAAGACAGCTACATTTACATTTAAATAAATACATAGGCCTACGTCAAAATCACCTCAGCCCTAAATTATTAGGGTTACAAATTTCTATTTTTTCCTATTAACTATTACTGTTGATTATAAAAAAAAGTCTGAGCAATTATGATGGAGGTTAATTTTCTGAGGATTTAGCCATAATTTTCTAAAGTTCATTATTCAAGAAACCTCAACATGTATAATATTAAATATGTAATACAGAAATAATGCACCAGAGTTATACACATAAGTTTCTTAATCACTTAGGACATCTGATTCTGCTAAAAAATTGTTCCTGAAAAGTTAGGTAAAATATTTTATATAAAATGATTTTAATTGACTTACTTTCAAACATTACATACATACATACATATATGTATATTTACTTTGAATTATTGGGGTTTGACTTGAAGGCTTCACACCTGTGAAGCAGGTACCCTACCTTCACACACTCCCAGCAGTTTGGACTTTATTATTTAAAGTCCTCAGACTACATTCTTCCTTTTATGCCTACTGTGTAGTTGGGATTACAAGCATGAGCCACTCTGTTCAACTTTTATTTTCATTTTCTTCTTTGGATGTTAGTTTTAGACTTTGGGAAGAAGTTTATTCCGTATCTTAAATCCATAAATAAACACTTAAACACGGTATAGAGATTCGTGTTGTTTTTTTTTTTTTGAAATTGGACCTGGCAGTGTCCTTGAGCAATTCTGCTCAAGGCTAGTGGTCTACGACTTTTTTTAAAATTTTTTTTTGGGGGGGGGTCCAGTCGTGGGCCTGAACAATGGGCCTGGGCGCTGTCCCTCAGCTCTTCAGCTCAAGGCTAGCGCTCTACCACTTGAGCCACAGTGCCACTTCCGGCTTTTTTCTTTTTGCTTATGTGGTGCTAAGGAATCGAACCCAGAGCCTTAAGCATGCAAGGCAAGCGCTCTACCACTGAGCCACCTTCCCAGCCCTGGTCTACCTCTTTGAGTCATAGTTCTATTTCCAGTTTTGAGTGGTTAATTGGAGATAAGAGTTTCATGGGAAACTCTTTCTGCGTGGGCTGGCTTTGAACCATGATCCTTAGATCTCAGCCTCCTGAGTAGCTAGGATTACAGGCCACCAGCACCTGGCTAGAGATTCTTTTTAAAAAATAAATACATAAGGATGAAGAAAAAAGGCACAAATGTTGACTCACATTTTACAGTTTACATTCTGATTCCTTATGTGAGCTCCCTGAAGATTAGCGACTTTATATGTAAAACTGGGTGAATAAATAAAGTATTGTGAGAACAAAGTATCTTCATTTAATCTACATAACATTTAATCTACATAACATTACTGTTTTGTAATTCAATATGTGTTTCATCTCATCTCTCCTGAACTATAAAAGATCTTCAAACAGTATTAATGAACTCTTTGGTTTGGATTTTTATATGTCTATTTCCATATAGTACTGTCTGTACTTCTCTGGAAACAAGTCTGCTTCAAATGGCAGTAGTCATTCAGACTGTCAATAAATTGTGAGCAATTCTAATGTAGTCAATATTCAGAAAATAAATCCAGGATTTTTCTGCCATAATTTTAAATTAGTAGTTATAAGGAGAATTCTCATATTCCTGAGAGAAAACAACCTTACATTTTTTAATGAAGGGGATATATGCTGAGTAATACACTGTTCAGACAATTCCACTGTGTGAGCATGACAGGATGGTCTCATACAGACTAAAATGACTATGATGTCAGCCTTCATTATAATCTTCTGGGACTGCTTTCATGTGTATGAGTTGTGCTGACTGCATTACTGTGTACTTCACAACTATACTTCTTTTTCAGATATGTGACTTTTAAGTGAGGTTTAAACTGTATTAGAAACTTAGAAACTGTCCCATTAGAACTAAAAGCATCATAGGTGATTACCATTGTTACAATTACATGGGCAAATACTGAACTCTACCCTCAGTGGAAATACTTTGTAACCTACTCATGTATGATTCTATTTTTTTCCCATCAAACCTGATTAACATGCAAGCTCTAAGTTAGAGCTGAGTGGCAAAGATGATCTAAATATTGGGTTACCTGAACAGCATCAAAATACATCTTCTTAGCTTCTAGATCTGTCTTGTCAGACATTAGCCAGGCCTTGAGCAAATATTCATAAAAGCTGTCTCCAAGCCCTCCAACTGATACATGATCTAAAAAGAGAGGGAAATGAATTTCAGAATGACTCAGCTTTTAATTCAGATAATGCAGCAAAATCACGTTACCCACTAGCATGCAAAACTCCATGTCAACTGCAACTCAATGTTATATTTAAATTCTAACAAATCTCCTATTTTCAGAAAGATATTCTGAGATGAGCAGATGGTCTGTGAACTAATGTGATATGCTCTTAATAACCAGGGAATTTTTGTAAACATGGTGATAAAAGATATGCAATCATCTCTAATTCTAAAAATTGGAGTAGCTAGTAAAACATACCAAATTAAGATGTTTCACAGTATGTATTTAAATACATTTTTATTTATTTTGGTTCTGAATAATATAGAACTGTCAAAACTAAGATCATTAACAAATCTGTATAAAAAGTGGCTTGTACTGAAACACGAGGCCTCTCAGATCCTTGCTTTTGATAAGTTTTTCTAGTGTTGTCAGTTTGCAGGGCCAATAACAGATGGAGCAGGGGCAGTAGGTTCCTTCTCCTAATACTTCATTTGCACAGTTCATCTCCAGGGACATTTTTTTTAAATGCTAGGTCCACTGTAAAAACTACCAACAACCCTGCAACTGCAAGTGAGTATCCTCATCTTAAAAGCAAGAGAAGACAGAGAAGCTAAGTGATATTCTAGTGTGGTTCACAGCCACTGACTTCACAGTGCACACAGGGTCTTCTTCACCTTTCGATCTTTCCTCTACATCCTCCACACTCAATGGCTTACATTTTGTTTTTGATCATTCAAGCTTATTTGCTTATATAACAAGAAACACACTGTATTTAAAACATTGTTAGAATCTAGAGATTTTTGAGCATTAACAAGATAATCTTTTAAGTTTTGTAACTCAAAACTACTTTCTATCCATTTCAAGTAGATTGGATTTAGTTGTACAGAAGTAAATTAGTATGCATACATATAGTTATTCAACAACTGTTTGTCTGATGCCTACCTAACTTGGCTATCTATGTGGGCATCGAAAATTCAACTTGCTAGGACCTGAATTACCATTTCCCCTTCAACTTTATCTTTTGCCCAGGTTTCTATTTTCCCATCTATACACAGGAGGAATCAGGCAGTCTGTGAAGTTGTGGTGGAGCATGTGCCTCACCTATACAAAGCCCTAGCTTCAATTTCCTAGCACCACGAAAAACAACACAACAAAACAAAGACCTCAGGTGGCTATTTTTAATTCTTCTGTTATCCTTCATTCTGACATAATGAATTCTCAAACTCCCAATTTTATTTTTTCATATATCTCTTGAAACCATCTATTCTTCTTTGTTCTCACCAGTATGATGCAGACTCAAGTGACTATTACCTCTTGTCTTGGTGTTTGCAGTGACCTGTGAGCTCATTTCCTGCTTCCATTTTGATAATGTACACTACTTTCATTTCAATTTATTAAAATTACACAGACAAGTTCAGTTTCCCAGCCATAGTGTGCTCAGTAGCTCCACGTGGCCCCTGCCTACTGTACTAGGCAGGGAAGACAGATACAGGCCACTTCCATCACTACAGAAAGCTCCAGTGGTGGTGTACTCCAGTCTAGAGCCCATATTCATATCAGACCTCTTACCATGTGAATCTGATCAACCCTTACTGCAGTCCCTCAATCCGGAGTTTCTGAAGACAGGGAGGCTTGCATGAATCCAAGCCGTCTCTGTATCAAGCTCCAATGCATCTCTGCTCACCTGCTAGATGGCATTTCTTTTTGTGTCTGAAATCATTAGGTTCCATGTTCTATGCCAGGGATTGCCTGGGCCTTGTTCTCTTTGCTCAAAATGTACATAACTCATATCCATGATGAAATGGTAGCTGCCTCCCCTGACACCTACAAAGTTTCCTGTCACAGGCTTTTGACAGCACACACTTACATACTTACAATTTTATAATGTGGTAGAATTATTTTCTGTCTCCCCCCACAAAATCAAGACCTAAGAGAGCAGAGACCAGGCCGAATATATTTTGTGGTTCACACTAGCCCCTGGAAAGCACTTCCAGGTACCTTGATGACTAAACTTCTTATAAGTCAACTTTAATAAAGACTAGCACCTATTCTAGGTAGTAGGGCCATATTTTTAAGTTTTTAAAATGAAGTTTCCTTATTACAGAATTTAATTAATTTGTATAACATAATGTGTTATCTTAAAGATGTGTCTGATTCTTAAAATAGCAGTGTTTGAAATGACCTTTACAGTTTCCTAAATAAATCACTAAAAAAAAACCACTCTGACATTTATGATCTAAATAGATGAACTCTATCTCATCAATAAGGTCTGTAGTTAAAATGATTGTAGCAGACAAACTCAAGTGATGCATGGTAGAACAAATCATTGTCTGGTTACTGTCAAAATAACAAGGATTAAATGAAGTAATAAGGAACGATAGTCATGATCCAGACATGTCTTCCAGAGTTAAAGCAACGAGAGTGGAAAACATTAACAGCCAGAAGCAGCTTGATCTGTTTTCCCCTTGGGTTACGGATCTCTAATGGATGGAAGAAGCACATTTGGTAGCTTTGGAGATTAAAAGAGGAAAAATGGTTATGTAATAACTTACTTTGTTTAGTTAATTTGATGAAGAGGGGTTAGTTTATTTTTAAATTTCTGCCTATGAAAATTGGGGGAAAATTCAAAATAAAGGAAAATAGAGATGAATCTTTTTTTTTTTTTGAGAATTTAGCATTTCACCCACTAAGCTTCTCCCATGATTGAAGGTAAATGACAGTCTGTCCTGGCAACCATATAAACATTTAAGCTGATATGGGAGAGAAGACTGACTTTTCAAAAAAAACACCTACTGTAGAATGAAGAGACATGGCATTTTTATGCCTAAATGGTCTAATGGTAATGTGTACTGTAACCACTTTTTTGAGGCAGTGTCTCATTAAATAGCCAAGGCTGAAATGGAACTAACTCTGTAGTGCCAGCGGGCCTCCAGCTGCCATTCTTCCAGCTCAGCTTCCTGAGTGTGGGGATTATAGCTGTGCACCACAAGACATGGCTGCAAGTCACTTAAATATAATACTCTCCACTGAAGGTGTTATTATTCATGGTAGGAATAGGCCTCATAAAAGGACTCCTAGTATGTTAAAAGAAACAGAAGAAAAGAGAATTTAAATATAAGAGGATTTAAAAAGTCAGCATCTTTATTTCTTTATCTTTTGGAGACTTCATTTGTATCTCAATCTCTGTTTTCAGTGTGAGGGAAGCAGCGAGTTGAGAGGAGTAGGGAAAATGTTGACCAGGATGCATTGTATATTCATACACTGCTTTGTAAAAGGGCAACTATTTTGTACAACTAATTAAAGATAACAGAAAATAAAGTTCTCTTTCCAAAGAAACTGTTCATATTAAGATGCATTGTACTCATAGCCTGACTTGTGAAATTGAAGCACTTTGGTACAACTACTTAATAAAAAAATTAAAAAAATAGCTTACTAGTACTAGACTAGTAAACACAGAAACAGCACACACACTTCACAAACAAGTATGTGGTAACTGCTATGTGTATAGACATGAACCCCCTAGCATGTAGCATCAATGGCCACAAAATCTGGTTGTATGATAAGGGGCCAGAAAGAGATGCTGCCTTTTAGCTGCAACTGAAAAACAAAGCCAACTTTTACAAGAGAATAAAATAAACTACTACCAAAAGAGAGGCAGATCAGATAAAAAGCATGTGAATCATCATAATTCCAAGTAAGCAAACATAAAACAGGTGCAAAATAGTGGGTGCTGGACTAACAAATATGATTAATATACGATTATGACCCTCCAAAGCTCTGATCCCTAGAAAGATGGATACTAAGGTAAGTCATCAGGAAGAGGATTGTGCAAGTACCTCAAGTACTGGGAACAGAACTGGGGATTATGTTCCAATCAGTACCTTGAAGAAAAAGGCTGCTAGGAGAAACAGCATCTGAGCTGGGCTTTGGTAGAATGAAGAGTCAAGGAAAAAGTACAAGCAAAGACCTACGTGAGGCCAAACAGGCCGTGGTGAAAAAAAATAAATAAGAACGTTGCGTTTAGGTGGATGGAGGCTGGGGGAGAAGAACATGAGACTCATCAGTCTTGTTTGTTTTTATTAAGAAATTGGCCCATAAGCAATCCAGATAGAAAGGACTCTTTGTACCAGGAAAACATGGCCAAATATATACTTTGTGGGTGACCTAGAAGGTAAAGCTAGAATGTTCCAGTCTAATTGGCTCTTTTTGTCCCAATTCAAGAAATGTACAAAACCTGAATTAAAAAAGAAAACAGTAAACCAAAGAGAGTTGTAAATAAAAAGAGATTTTTGAAATATTTCATGAGAACTCAAAAAATGGTGTCCCTTTTTAAAGAATTATATACAGTCATCTTATATCCTAATACCACTAGTGGCCCCTTCTAGTTTTGAGTATCCATTCATACTCTTAAAATGAATAACCTAAAGCACTTATTTATATAATATTTTTGTCATTATTTAAAAATGTCATCACTACATAGTAACTGTACAGGAGTTTCATTTGCTTACTTGTCTACATGCAAATAACCACATTCACTCCCATCACCCTTTACTTTTGCTCTGCCTGTTCTGCTGGTTCTAATCTCTTTCCTTCAAGAAGCACTTCCTCTTTTATGTCATTTTTTTCAAGTCTAGATTAGTAACACAGAGGAAACATTTGACATTTGTCTTTCTGAATCTGGCTTATTTTACTGAAAATACTGATTTGTTGTTCTATCCATTTTTTCTGTAATGACATAATTTTATTCTTCATATGGCTGAATTATACACTATTTTGTAAATATACATTCTGTTTCTTCTATCTATTCCCAATTGGTAGGCAACTAGCCTGATTTCATGTATTGGCTACTATGAATAATGCTGTTACAAACATGGGTGGGTAGGTTTCTTTATTGCAGGCTGACTTGCATTTCTTCATGGTTATGTGCAGTAGTGGTATAACAGAGGCATACAGCGGTGGTAGTTCTATTTTTAGTTTTTTGAGGAACCTCCATACTGATTTCTACAGTGGCTGCCCTTATTTACACACCTACCAACAAAGTTTAAAGGTCCCTTTTCCTTACATCCTCACCAGAATTTGCTACTATTTATTTTTTTTTTACTTGTTATTGCTTCTTTTCTGTTTTGACTTGGGTGAACCAGAATTTCAAGAATGGTTTGATTTGCATTTCCTTTACGATAAAGGATACTGAACATGTTCATTGGCCATTTATATTTCCTCTTCTGAGAACTGTGTGTTAAATTCATTTGCCTTTTAATTGTTTTTATTTTTGTTTCGGTGCTTAATTTCTAAGCTTTTTATTATTCTGAGCATTAATCCCATGAGTAGCTTGTATTTTCTCCATTCTGTAAGCATTCTTTACTCTGTTTATTGTTTCCTTCGCTGTGCAGAAGTTTTAAAATTTGATGCAACCTGGTTTGTTACTTCTTGTTTTTATTTCCTGAGTGATTGGAGTCCTACTAAGAAAGCCAAAATCTATGCCTGTAACTTCAAGTTTTTTAAATGCTTTTCTATGGTAAAAGTTGTGTGTCTTACATTAAGGTCACTGATACATTAATTAATTAATAATATTATTATTATTTTGCCAACAACCAGGTCTGAATTCAGTGCCTCCTTGTTTGCTTGCTCAAATGGTGCTCTGTTACTTGAGCTACAACTCTAGCCTAGCTTTTTGCTTGTCAAGTCTCATGGACTTTTCTGCTACAACTGGCTTTAAACCAGCTTTTTCAGTAGTTAAAAATGCAGGTGTGAGCACCAGATATATGGCTACTGATACATTTTGAGCCATTATTTTATATAAAGTAGGAAACAGGGATTTAGTTTCAGTCTTCTACATGTAGATTTCCAGTTTTCCTAGAATTATTTGTGGAAGAGGCTATATTTTCTCTAATGTATGTTTTGGCATTTTTGTTAAAAATTAAGTGCTATGTGAGCTTATTTCTGAAACTTCTATTTTCTTAGTCTACATGTCTTTTTTTATACCAGTACCAGACTATTTTTCTTTTTATGGCTCTGTAATATAATTTGAAGCCATCTAGAATTGCTTTTTCTGTTCAGGATTGCTCTGGCTACTTGGAGTCTTTTATACTGTCATATGTTATTTAGCATTCACTTTTATATTCCTATGAAGAATGTTTTCAGAATTTTGATGGGGATTTCACTGAATATGTTTTTGGTAGTATAGCCATTTTCACAGTATCAATTCTGTCAATCCATGAACATGGCATTCTTTCCATTTTCTAGTGCCTTCTTCAATTTCTTTCTTCAGTGTTTTACACTGTAAAGGTCTTTTGCCTTCTTACTGACTTATTCTTAGGTATCTCTTTTTTAAGGTGATTGTGAATAGGATTATTTTCCTAATTTAATTCTTAGCCTGTTTGTTGCTGTTATATAGAAAAGCCATAGATTTTTCTGCTTTGCTGAAAGTATCAGTTCTAAGAGTTTTTGGTGGCGTGTTGAGCATCCTTTTCATATAAGTAATAATTATCTATATTTTCCATACTGGAAAATTAAAACAATTTAAAAGTTTTTGTTGATTCATTATGAGTAACAATTATATGGCTATTGTATAATATTATTTATGAAAACATTATATAATTTACAAAACAAAACAAATCAATGGGAAGACTGACATTCTTACATTTTTGTGAACCTCCTTAATGTTTGCTTTACTAGCAGAGATCTGGATTCTCATAGACAGTTTAAATTCGATGCATTGTTACAAATTGTTTTAGATAAAATATATAAGGAAAAGTTGCCCTTACACAGGTTGACAGTTGTTAAGAGAAATCATTTTAATAGTCATTTCAGATAATGGTAATTTTTTTGATATAGCAAAAAAAAAACTTGACAGTGAATTTTTTTTTTTTGGGGGGTCTGGTCATGGGGCCTGAACTCTGGGCCTGGGCACTGTCCCTTAGCTCTTCAGCTCAAGGCTAGTGCTCTACCACTTGAGCCACAGCGCCACTTCCGGCTTTTTTTCTTTTTGCTTATGTGGTGCTGAGGAATCGAACCCAGGGCCTCATGAATGCAAGGGAAGCACTCTACCACTAAGCCACCTTCACAGCCCTCGACAGTGAATTTTTAAAAGTTAAAGTTTTTCAAAGGCTAGATGGCTACAATGTACGGTTAGAGATTGCACCAATATGGGGCTGGGAAGATGGCTCAGTGGTAGAACGCTTGCCTTGCATGCCTGAGGCCCTGGGTTCGATTCCTCAGCACCATATAAGCAAAATGAAAAAAGCCGGAAGTGGCGCTGTGTCTCAAGTGGTAGAGCTCTAGCCTTGAGCTGTAAGAGCTGAGAGGCAGTGCCTAGGCCCAGAGTTCAGGCCCCAAAAAGAAAAAAAAAGAGATTACACCAATAAATTTTTGTGTTCAGTTACAGACACATGTTCTGATTACCTTGTACTTTGAGTGAATATTTTTTTATGCATGATTTTGTAATAGCACATAGTGCTTATTTGGAAAAGTTTTTTCGAGCTATGCAGATATTCCATTTCACTAAACAGTATTTTAAAAAATCATGTTTGTTAATATCACCACACCAATCTCATCAGAAAACTAGTCAATTCAAGCTCATTTGGCATTTACAAGTTCTCTATAATTTTATTATTTTTTATAGAAATTCCAATTTTATCATCTTGGGTACAAAAATTGTCACTTTTTCTAGAAGTGACAGGTTCATCTTTGAAAACATGCCTACCAATTACCAAAGTCTGAATAACCAGTTTTATTTTAGTTGTTCTTTCAAGTAAAGATGGTAACCCATGAAACAATAATGACAATAATCTCAATAACAACCAAGAATCAGTACTAATCAATTAATAACAATAGTGTTGCAATTTATTCACATTAGAGCTTTTCTTCCAGGCAGATATTTTTTCATCATGTAGCCAAAGTGCATTTTGTATACTTTCATTTCATCACACAGAACATTACAGTGATGTGTATTCAAGGGCTAACATTTGCTAGAATCAATAATCATTTTACCGGCTCATTAAGAACTTTCATCAATGAAAGTGGCAGAGTACAATGCATGTTAGTACAATCTGGTACCTGCCTTGCTTTTGACTGATACAGTTCCACCCATCATGGCTCTTCAGTGAACAAGGCAGAATATCTCAAGATTATCCCAAACATATTTGACCTATGGATCCATGAAAGGTCTCAGTACTTCTAGTAATGTAGACCACACTTAGGTCACTGGCAAACTTCATGAGGGAAAAGTTTCAATAGCTTGGGCTTCCATTGCTATTACCACACTATTTTAGCACACTTTTTTTCCTACTTGTCTCTCTTTTTGAGAGAGAGAATTTTTTCCCTTTTGCTTGTTTCATGAGACTAGATCTAGCCACGTAGTTAGTCTAGGCTGGCCTGGACTCCCTATGCAGCCATGCTGGCCTCAGATTCCCAATCCGATTGCTTCATTCTCCCAAGTGATTAGATTATAGATGTGCATCCTTGCACCTGGCTTTAATAAAATATTCTTTAAGGAAAGTACTTCTAATGTAATAATAAGGCATAAAAATTAATAATGTGATATTTTAATATGAGGCATAACCCAAACTAAAGTAAAATGTTAAGGCAGCACCAATACCCTAGCATAGCTAAACAAACCACTTAAGATTCTTCCCTTGCTTTCAACTACTACTTAATCTACCACTGTTTCTCAAAATAAGCTTATGAACATTTATTTCACCTACTCTGAATACTGGTTCTCGAAGTTGTCTGAAGTGAAGGCTTCTGGCATCCAAAGTTCTTGTATGATACTTAACTCCTACACTAAAGTAAATGTACTGGCAAGAAATCTTTATCTGGGAGCCTGAAGCATCGTTTGTTTGCTTTTCTAACTTCCCAACTCCACACGGAAAGAAAGACAATGTTAGGAAGTAGGATGATATGGCTATCTTTTTGTGCAAGACCCCTCTCCTTAGCACAGAGGAGCACCTTTTCCATCTACTCACATGACTCGCTCAGTACAGGCTAATGTCCCTCACCAACCTGACTAGATCTTTGTTTTCTGAGATGAGTCATTTCAGAAATACTTGTATATTATCACACTTAAACTTATACACTGAGCTGGGCACTGCTGGCTCATGCCTGTAATCCTAGCTATTCAAGAAGCTAAATTGAGAACTGCAGCCCAGGGAATTCAAGTCAAGTCTGTGAGACTCTTATCTCGAACAAAAAAGCCAGGAGTGAAGATGTGGCTCAAGTGGTAGAGTGCTAGCTTTGAGCAAAAAAAGCTCACGAACAGCACCCAGGCTTGGAGTTCAAGCCCCAGGACTGGCATGTACATAAAAAAATTGTACAGTGAAATAACCTATCCATTTCCCTGGTAGCAAATCTGTTCTATGGCCAAAGGAACCAGTTCCCCCTTTTTTCTTTTAAACATTCCTCGACATAATAGGTGCTTCTTTTCTCTGCTACTAGCACAGTACTGTGATTACTAAGTGCTAAAGAAATGCTAATTTTTTGACTTACGTTGACCCCACTGTCCACTACTGGGGTTCAGATAGTTAGGGTAAAGGCCTTCTGGTTTTTCCAGTTTGTTTAATACTTTTCTAATATTCATTACCTACAAAATAAAAGAAATGTTATTATGAAATTCAAGAAAAGCCACGTGCCATTCTTTCTTTAGTATATTTTTCACAATTTAGAAATGGACATAAATGATGTAAAGTTAGAACAATGAGAGCTTTCATCAACTTATTATAAAAATAATCACAGGAAATGAATATTTACACTTAGGAGAAGAGACTCATGGGAACTCTTTCTGTGCCTCAGGCAGAAAGAATCTGTCATGTAAATACATGGCAGAATAGGGCCCACTTACAAACAAAGAGGCCTTAAAATGAAACCTACCTTGTCTAAATCTTGGTCTTAGATAGTTTTGTCAGCCTCCAGAACTCTGAGAAATACATTCCTATGGTTGTGCATACATAGTTTAGAATTTGACTTGACTGAGAGAACTAGTATCAGACAGGAAAGGAGGGGCAAGCTGACTAGGTTAAGGTGGTCCTGAAAAGCGGATGTAATTGAAGAGAATTTTAAAGATGCCAGAGAACAGTTCATGGAGAAATCTGGAGGGAGAATAACTTGAGCAGAGGAAGGAGTGAGTAGAAAAAGCTCCCGTAAAGAAAATGAGTTTGGTAAAGCCACGAAGGTGAGAGGTGAGGAAGCACTGGGGGGAAAAAATCAGTAGCAAGGCAAAGTGTGAAGTGGGGTCCAGGACACAGGCCTTGTAGCCCACAGTAAAGCTTGACTCTATCCTTAAAATCAGGGAAGACGTGTGAAGCTAGCTTCTGCAGAGTCCAGGTGAGAGAAGATGATGGGCCCTGGACCAGTGTGGCAGCCCTGGCAGTAAGACAGAATCAAAGGATTTCCTGATATATTAGACAAAGGCTTGACATTACTCTGTCTCAGTGACTGAGATCACTGTGCCTTGAGCCACTCTGTAGAAAGAAGTGAGACTTGTATTTGAAGCCTGGAATAAAACAGGTCTGGGGGTTGAGATTGAGGCATTTTAGTGGGGGGTCTTGTTTATTAGAAATATTAGTGGATGTTAGATAAATGTTGGACAGTCTCAATTACAATTTCAGGGACAGGTTAATGGTTGGAGTTATCAATTTGGAGTTAATGGTATTGTGAAAATGTATGAAGCCAGTGGTATATGAAAAGACTGGAGGAGACAATGGGGGATACAAAAAGGAGGGACTAAGGTTTGCGTCATAGGGCCTTCCAATATTTACAGGTTGCATGCTGGGTCTAACCAAGGAGACTGAGAAGGAAGCATCCAAACCTCTAACAGGGAAGGAGGTAAACCAGGGGAGTTTTATAAGCGCTGTTTTCATGAAGGAGCTGGCCAACCCTGTCCAATGCTGGCAGGGCAGGGGAGACGAACGGGAGGAGGACAGATAAGCAGTTTTGGCAATGTTGTGTTCTCGGGTCACTGAGGTACATGTGGCCAGAGTGAAGCCCAAATGGGTGAAGCTCAAGAGAACAGCAACTCTTTGGAGGAATGGGCTTGTTTACTGAAAATGAGAAATCAATTCAACCTTCACCTCATATCATTATTGTATAGTAACAATACATGTAGTCTATATAATATTATATATATTTTAGGCGAAGTTAATGGAATCATACAGATGAAGTAAAACTTAAGGCACAGAGATTCACATAGGAAAGCCAGGTCCTCTCACCCTGAGTTAGATGGTGTCATGGAAAGGTTGGGTTTGTGATTTCAGTAAAAGAAATGGGGAATGTTATAAAAGTACCTGAGGAGATATACAAACCTTGTTCTTTTTCATGTCCAGGATTATTAAAGTTCCCAGGGCAGAATATTGTTGCTCACAAGTGCTGTTTGCAAGAGAATCTCACCTTTTCAGCAAAGATGGGGTTTCCTGATAAGTGGCTCAAGTGCATAAACTCCAGATGCAGGGTTCCAAACTCTGCCAAAATACTGCTGCCTCCAGAGGCCCAGGGCCAGTTTCTCCCAATACCACTAAAGAGAAGACAAGAAAGAGTCATCAGTCTGATAACGTTCATTTTATATAGTAGAAGTAAAAGCTCTCCTTTCTAGTAGTGGCATCTCAGCTAACAGTTCACTTTTTTTTACCAGATCAACTCTCTTTTTTTAAAAATTATCTTTAAGTAACAAGGAGTTGTCATTCAATGAAGTGGTTTATGCATATAGTATATCTTGATCAGCGTCACCCCTTTGATCATCCTCTCCCAGCCTTCCCACCCCACCCGTCCCTTAATTTTCTTCATTTTGTAGGATATACACTGAATTTAATAAGCTTACTCTTGCTAGTATATAACTAATCCTTGTTTTCTTGGGCTATCAGTTTTAGTGCTGACTTAAGTTAGAAAGAAGTTGCTGTGTGCTTTATGTTCATTTACAGATAAATGTTCTGGAAGGTACAGTTGCTATAAAGGGCTATACAACTACTCCATGTAGAAGATGAAACAAAATCAGACCAAAACATTCTCCTCACTGTCCAATCCAACACCGAGAACACTTTTAATTTCAGCCTGAGATTCTATGAAATGATAGACATTCACATATACAGTACAACATTTTACTGGGATACAAGATACATTTCAAGATTCATTAAATATATTGCTCTTTTCTATTTCTTCCCTCATTTTCTACACTTCATTTTTATGTTTATCCTCTCAGTAGCATACCTTTTTTCCTATCTTATTTAATCTACGCTCAAAGATACAAAAAATGACATTATATAGATATCAAACAGTCAAAGAAATAAGCTTCAAGTATTATTGTCTGATGGCTCATCTTGGAGAAATAATTTTTTAAAAGAGCTGGTCTTCCTAACAAGCAGGAGTCCCTGAGTCTAATCCCCAGCCATGCAACAAAACAAGACAAAACCCCCTGAGCTAGTCTTTATAAATATACACACAAATGTGCTAACATAAAATGACTCTTACAGGGCTGGGAAGGTGGCTCAGTGGTAGAGCACTTGCCTTGCATGCCTGAGGCCCTGGGTTCGATTCCCCAGCACCACATAAGCTGTGGCTCAAGTGGTAGAGTGCTAGCCTTGAGCTGAAGAGCTGAGGGACAGTGCCCAGACCCAGAGTTCAGGCCCCACAACCGGACCCCCCCCCAAAAAAAAATGACTCACGGTCACACAGAAACTCTTGGCTACTTTATTTTTTGGGAATCATTTAAAAATACCAGTACATATATGGAAACTCATATACAAAATAATTATTCTCTTGATGAACAAATTCTCTGATATCTACAATACACATTTTGGTTTCAGTTCAGATGTGCATTTATTGTGTGCGATTTACAATAAATACCTATGGCATTGGGCTACAAGAATGATTGTGATAATACATCATTATTTTCTCAAGATTTTAAAGTTCAGTGGGTAAGAATGATCTAAGCATAAGTAATTCCTATAGAACACAATGGCAAGATAAATGCTAGAAGAGTGCCACCAGCACCTAAAGCCAGGACACACTAACACTGCAGGATCATACAACACTTCTTCAAGGAGATACTCGAGTTTGACTGTTGAAGGATAGGAACTGTTGAGAGGAGAGAGCAGAGAGAGAGGGAACCTAGCCATGGAGAGAAATCCAAGCAGAGGGCAGATTCTGATACTAGTGAGTAGCGGGAAGGGAAGAGCTCAGGTAAGAAGGCTGTAGCGAAAGTTGAGCCCAGTGAGGTCAGTGGAACTCTTCCTTCCCTCTCTTTCCAAGGTAGATCCCACATAAATGCTGCCAACAAGGATCCTCTAAAATTCCTAGCCAACCTTCTTTGATGAGTAAACACTGTCAGTCCTGTCGTTTCCTCTGCCACCAGGCTATTGAAGAATGCTAAAGAAGGAAAACCAGGGACAGCCAGTCCTAAAATCCTGGGCTCTTATTCTTTGTCCTTTTTTAAAGTAAAATTCAGATTTTGTGCTAAAAAATGGGTGTAAAGTATACCTAATGAGAGCACACAGGAAAAAACAAGCCTACAAAGAACTGAAAAATCATACGTCCATGTATAAAAGACAGGTCCTAAATTTTGGGTTTGGGAAATGAAAATCAGTTTTATTTTCATAGTTGGCGCAGATAAAAACAACCTTGAGTCATCCTAATGAGATGAACAGGACTTTCAAATTTTATTCACATATGGAAATACACATAGTAATTGGCCATTAATTTCCCATGATGCATCAAATTTTTAATGTACGCATTCCATCACTGAGCAAAGTCAATAGCCTATTAAGAAAAACTACGAACTTCTATGCTATGGAGAAGTATTAAAAACAAAAGTGCAACATACAACAGGACCGGGGAAAGAGGAGATGATGACTTCATCTTGGAGAAGGAAGAAAATAGGGCAGGCTGAGAAAAGTCCAGTCCACCTCCCAATTTTTAGGGACTTTTTTTTCAGTTTAGGAGACTGGCATATTTAGTGGCACACTCAGACGTGAAGGTTAAGGAATATAAATGTACTGCATAAAACGCAAGCCAGGCATTGTGGCACATGCCTGGAATAACAGCTACTTAGGAAGGAGAGGCTAAATGATCACAAGTTGGAGCAAGGAGAGCAAGACACTGGCATAAAAACAATATAAAACTAAAATGATTGGAATAATAACACTAATGGAACTGAGGGTAAAAGAAGAACTTCCTGGGCTGGGTACACACACACACACACACACACACACACACACACACACACACACACACACACACACTGGGTACACACACACTGGCCAAAGTCTACTGTACACATCCATGGAATTATCAATGAAAGCCTTTTGTTACAACTGATGTATGCTAATAGAAACTTCAGAATCTCACCAAGCAGTGCACACAGAATATACATTTTATTGTTTATAAATTGTATCTGGATGAAGATTTTTACAAACTTTAAATTGCCAAAAAAAATTATTCTTTTTGGTCAGTCCTGGGGCCTGAACTCTGGGCCTGGGCGCTGCCCCTCAGCTCTTACCCTCAGCACTTCACCACTTGAGCCACAGTGCCACTTCTGGCTTTTTTTGCTTATGTGGTGCTGAGGAATCAAACCCTGGGCCTCATGCATGCAAGACAAGCACTCCACCAATGATCCACCTTCCCAGCCCCCCAATGTTTTTTTAAAGTGCTAGGGTGTACCTCAAGTGGTAGAGCACTTGACTAGCAAGTACAAAGCTTCACTAGTGTATAAACAACAAGAAAAAAAAAACTTAAGTCAAATTTACATTCATGTACTTCCTGACGTTTATGTAGTGAAGAAAAAGAAAACTAGAGACAGTGAACATTTTTAACGTTAGAAAATTAAGAAATGAAAGCTATATATTTTTGCTTCCTTTCTTACGTGCTTCATATCAGAAGAATAGTGTTATCTTCTTTTGCTGTTTTAATTATATGAGGACCACAAACATCAAAAGCACACTTCATGCTCACAGACAATAGGCTGGGCTTAAATACATGTCACTTTTCTGCAAGGATGGCTTTGGTTACCATCTAACTTACATTCTGTCTTTGACCTACAGAATTAATGTATTTCCGTAAAATTATTTATAAGACATATGGTTTTACTGGATCTTAAATGTGGCCCAAAGTGGTTCAACAAATCAGGGCACCCCTCCAGGTAGATATTACATAAGGTCACTTAGACCCTCATAGGCAAAGCTACAGAGACACTCAGATAAGACTTGTAGAGAATATGGATATGCATGACAGATTATGACAGCTATGACAATGTGTGTCAGGGAAATGACTATCTCCAGGCAGGAAGGCAGAGTCAAAAATCAACTTGGGTCTTGTCTCACACAAAGAACTAGATTCACAGAATTATTTACTTTTTTGTTCCCCTTTGTGACAAATGTTATTTTCTGGACATTACTGTGGTATGCATTTGTACAAATCCTTCAGGCAGTGGTCCATGAATAAAAAGGGATATAAATAAAATAGCATAATTTTCTCTCTTATTTTATTATAATGAAATTTAACAATATAGAAAATGTCACATGACCATGGTGGGTCAGGTTCGCAATATGAGACACTTTAAATACATGAAGCTATGGTTACAATTCAGACTTCCAATGTACAAGCACTTGGAAATAGGTACATCCTTCCCAACCTGGAAGTAGCAGCATGGTGTCTAAGGTATTTTTGTCTCTAAGTTCTGTCGATTGGAGAAGCTACATATTTGTAAAGCTCAAACATTGATTTGGATGGTTGGCATTTGGTGTTAGAATGGTAGGTCTATGACCAAGAATAAAATGAGTCCAGAGACGGTTTGGCTTTTTGGCCTAGGATAAAGGGTATCCTGGGTATTGCATTACCAAGAGCCAGATAAATGCCAAAATGACTCATCTCTGGAAGTTAAAATGTCTTTAACTTCGTTTCCATCATTGCAGTATTTTAAAAGGAACGGTGGTGTTCTTTAACTGGTCTATTTAATAAAGACTCATATTCTGTGAAACTATTTTGAAGGCAAAATAATACTCTGTATCCAGACACTATGAGATCTATCAGATGAGAGGATAGGATATTTAAATGTTTTAAACATTGTTATAAGCCAGAATGAGGAGTGGGAGTGAAGAAATGTATACCCCAAAATCAATTAGCACGATTTGGGTAGCTGCCAAGTGTGCCTTAGAGAATCCCGGTACAGATGATTGTTGTATTATTCCAACTTTATTTGTTTCCACTACTGTCCTTAGTTCTTCCTTTTAAGCAAGAATACTATTTAGTATACATGCTTTACTTAGCTTAAAATTTCGGTATTTGACAAAAGTAACCACTTTTAGCTCTTGCAACTAGAAATATTTTAAAAGAATGGCGTCATTAAGATTCTTTTGAAAATGTAGAATGATGTTTTTGTTTCTTTCCAAATTATAATTTGAATGTAGTTTGTTAGCACTGTGATATGTCTCTTTATCCCATTGTAGTCAAAAGCAAGAAAGTATAATTATTTATTGACCTCATAGCTCTGATAAGCTTTATATGCTTTTCCCTCTGTCTCCTGGG